TTAAAATATTATTTTTGATAGGAGCTTAAAAACTTTCATTTCATTTCTTACTATAAAATGTTGATTGAATACATTTTAATACAAGAAGGCATCGAGAGCTCATTCAGTGGAAATAAAGGCATCAAAAGCTATTTACAATCACTTGTAACCAGATTTATGTACTTCAATAACTCAGGTCGTTTCCCGTGAGGATCTGAGCAAGAGCTTGCACATGCACTTCTAGTATAGCGTGAGTACTAGACAGAATTAGAAAACGCTAGAGTATTACGACCCGTTCCAGTGTTTGTGTTCATTGTTCAAGATTGAACCGAACGAATCAGTACTCAAGCCAATGGTGGAGGATGTTCCAACCGAGGATGCTCCTGAAGGACGATGTGATCGCCGAAGGTATCTAGATCCCGGGACACCAGGACGGTCTGGTCCTTATAGATTGCATGGGTTTCTCGGGAGAAGCAGAGACACTCGTCTCATAGGTGGTCTATCGTGTGGATCATCTTGCACACAGAGCAAACTGATCTGAACGCAGAGTTGACTTGGTTTGGATCAGCCGAACCTGCTATTTCTCGGTCTAGAGTAATTAATACTCAACTTACATAATAATAATGTTGTTTTTTCCCCGAAACAACGACCTACCTCCTGGCTCGATGAATCATAGTCTGACGAGTATCGTATAATCGAAATGCAACTGTTTATAAACGAGTGAGAGTTAATTAACATAACAACAAAATCTCATATCGAACAATCCAAAAAACTGCGTCGAAAGACTGCGTCTCTCCTTGATTAAGATATATTGAAAATCCTCCTGAAACAAACCAAAATCGATGAAACACAAGCACAAAATTTTCTATAATTAACATAACAACAATATAGATGTAATAATACCATCACATAAATTGTTGTAAAGAATATTTAGTTTGTAGTCTAATAACTTTGGTTATAAGTTTTTTGTTGCTGATACACGAAGCGAGTTTGATGAACAATTCATGAGGAACTTCAACCTCAGCCTCGCTAACTGCAAATACAAAACATTTAAAATGTTGTATAATCTATATATCAATTTCCCCATGCAATAATATGACTAATAAACACTATTTAGTAACACATGCATGTGTCAATATTATATTTGTATATAAACAAGGATAGATTGAGAGACTTGTTCCTTGTAATTGCTTACTGCAAAAACATCCCATTTTAATAACTATAATATCAATTTACAATTTCCAGTCACACATGATCATACGACTATATACATTAACTGTGTCTATACATGTGGACATTCTAAGAAGCTGCGAGCTTGTGGAATATTAATCTAATTTTGACCGAACAACTTCGAAAGTGGAAGGTTCTTAAATTTCCGGTTTAGGGAGCTGGAGCCAAATGGTATAATTTTTTTTTATATCGGAATTTGATACTAATTCTTTTCTATGTTGCTTGAT